GATAAATTTCTTTTTAAATTTTTCTAATAGTACAGCCTCTTCCTGTCGCTGAACGTTTGCGATGGGCAATTAAATTTGGGTGAATATCGGATGAAAATTTGGCGCTCAGTCATCAAATGCGCAAATAATCCTTGTCCTGTTCCAGCCCGTTAAAGACACCCTTGACCTCCATGATAAGCTCTCTTCAGTGACATGTTTTTCATCCACGGTGGGGAGCGAACTAATCCTAATCCAAATGTCCCGGCCTTCGTTCAATCACCCCTTCCTCATTTTCATTCATCGGTTTAATCGTTTGACACCCTTGAACAGAAGGGAGGTGCACATCCATTTAGATACCCGCACGAAGCAAATGAGATGCCGCAGAAGCTCAACGTACAAAGAAACGAAGTTGGTCTAAAAATTAATGGATCGAAAAATTCCTAATATTTGCACAAATGGTCTCAATTTTTTTCAGTTTATATTTTTATTACAATTTTTATGCGTATTTCCTTTTCTTCACTGTTTTTCACTTATATCTATTCACAACTTGCTAAATTTTAATATCTTGTGAACTTTGACCTCGTGAAATCGAAACTTCAGCGAGCCTTTCTTTCAATGACCTCTACGGCCCCAGACAGTAACTATTCCTTTCTTTCGTCCCCCATTAATCGCATTAAATTACCACTTTAATTTGCTGAAAAGATTAGGCACAAAAAAAAATTTCGGACTCAGCGATATTTATTGCTGCCACAAAATTTGCATGGAAACCTTAATTTCCATTCTGCGAGTAACACGTCTTTCACTGATTTCGGGAAATTCAGCCTCCTTCTTCTATGCCCTTTAACTTTGCTATCTTATTTTATTCATCAAGAAAGAAAACACTAGTCAACATTGTTATTGGTTCTATCAGCCGAAGATTTTTCCACCGATTTAACATGAATATGTTTTGAAGTAACGAAGATGCGGAGAAATTTCTTTTCGCTATTATTAAACGGAAATTTTCCTGATTTATTAATTTTTGTTTTTTTTATATATTTTGCCATTTAACTCGTATTTTCACCACTGTATTTATGAAGAACAACCGTGCTGTCGATGTAATATCTTATGCTAATGGTTAGCTTGACTACAGTATTGATAACGTTCTTGCATTTTTTTTTTTATATTGCTCACCTGTTACTCATTAAGTGACTGTTTTTTCTCGTGAGTACCACACTGTCGACTGTGGACGTCGCTAATCAGTGAGTGATACGCATGAAAAAGGAAACGTTCGGATGACCCCCAAAGAAGTGGCGCGTATGCATCAAGGAGTAACTGAGTTCATCTGTATGCAGCCAAGAATCGAAGGATCTGGCACAACTGTACCCGACGCCTGGGAGCATCCCAATAATAACTTCAACATGAAATATCCACAAAAACAATCTCATAGTTTTGATATTATTGGTATTTTTCACTCTTCACAGATAAATAATTGCTCAAATTTTTTATAGTTTTTCGAGCTTCGACAAAATTGAAGCACTCGAAAATTTAAATTACGAAATTATAGCAAACAAGATTAACTTAATTTTATGGCCGTTTTAAAAAAAAATTCGAAACAAAAAA